CGGCATCTCTCTCCCTTTGGCCTTCCTCTTCATCACCAAGGATGCAGTGTGATGCCCTGTCCCCTCAGCCCTCTGTTCCCTAGCTGACACCTCAGAAGGGCTCACACAGCCTGCCTTGCCCGTGTCCTAACTCCACGCACATCACAGCATCCCATCTCTTACACAGAACAAAATTATATGGTCTTTGTCATGTTTTCCTGACTTACCCCCTGACTTCCAAATGCTTGACAGCCCCCATTCATCACTGTCTGGGCCACAAACTTAAACATTATCTTGTCATCTGTCACCCTGAGGCTTCTCCAGCGTTCTTGACATTGTCCTAGTCCTGCTCTCCCCTCATTACTCCTGGACTTCGTTCCTTCCTCACTCCCTCTGCTGGTGAATACTTACCCATCCTCCACCACTGGGCTCTGAGGACATTTTCTTAATACTGCCATCTGCATCAGGCCCTAGGAGTGGGTACCTTGGGGGTTAGGAGCCTGGTATCAGGCGCCAAGGAAGCTTCTCTGCTCTGACTGCCTCCTGGTACTGCAGGTTCTTTCTGATGTGTTACCTGTTTGTAAACTTGGCCTGTGCTGTGCAGACGCTTCTGAGGACCCCCAACTGGCGGCCCCGATTCAAATACTATCACTGGTGAGTGCCTGCCTGCTGGATCCCTGGGGCAAGTCCCTTGATAATTGGCCATATTGGGGAAGCCACAAGCTCCATTCCGGAGAAAGTCTGAGTTTCCTAGGCAGCCTTTGCTCTTGAAACACTATGAGGAGGGAGATTCTCTGACCTGCTTCTCACATCCAGCTTGTGACTTGGGGCCTGTAAGGGCCACCAGAGTATGGGACCAACTATGACCTGGATTCCTGATTCTTATCCTCTCATCTCTTTCCCAGGGCACTGTCTTTCCTAGGCATGAGTCTCTGCCTGGCTCTTATGTTTGTCTCCTCCTGGTACTATGCCCTAGTTGCCATGCTCATTGCGGGCATGATCTACAAGTACATTGAGTACCAAGGGTGAGTGAAGGGTTACTGTTGGCCTGGTAATAGCTTGTATAGCATTGCGCATGTCTGGTTGAACAGTTAGAATGGTCTGAGTGTTGGGTTGGTGGTGGCAGGCTGTGCCAGCTTTGCTTTTTGTTCTGTGGTTGGGGACTGTGACTCAAGGCCTGGCCTTCCTTCAGCCCATATTCACATAGAAATCCCTGGGTAAAGGGAAAGAAATGTATATCAGTAGTAAAGTACTCACTTAGCATGCCGAAGAGGGAGGAAGGGAAATCTTTGGGTGGAACCAGGGGCTCAGTAGCTTGTTGTGACATCTGTAGGGCTGAGAAGGAGTGGGGTGACGGGATTCGAGGCCTGTCCCTGAGTGCTGCACGCTATGCACTGTTGAGGCTGGAAGAAGGGCCTCCTCATACCAAAAACTGGCGGTAAGTTCATGCCCAGACTGACAGGCCATCTCAGGGTTCTTAGGGAACACTGAAGGTGGGGGGTTCTATAGCTCTCCTTGGGAGGTTGTAGGAGATACCCTCTTGCTTGTTGAGCCCTTGAATGTGTGCTGCCCAAACTTGTGGGAGTCTAAATTCTGAGACTGAAAGAAAAAGGCTTTGGGGAAAGTCCAGGCCTGTATCTCAGGCTGCCTAACTGTCTGACCACTGCAGGCCTCAGCTCCTGGTGCTGCTGAAGCTAGACGAAGACCTTCATGTGAAGTACCCCCGGCTCCTCACCTTTGCCTCCCAGCTTAAGGCTGGGAAGGGCCTGACAATTGTTGGCTCTGTCATCCAGGGCAGCTTCTTAGAGAGCTATGGTGAGGCCCAGGCTGCTGAGCAGGTAATGACCAGGGGTGGGAAAACAGCTCAGCTCAGCCAAATCAATGGTGACTGGGGTGCAGCAGATATACATGGGAGGGGACCATTCCAGGCCACTGTGGCCAGCCAGATGGACAACACTGCTATTGTCTTCAAGCTTGAATAAGTATAGTTGTCCCACCTTGAAACCCTGGCCTGTGGGCTGGCAAACACCTCAGTGGGTAGTGACACTCATGTGTAGACCTAAGTTTGATTCCCGAATCCTGCAAGGTTTCAGATGAGACCCATTCCCATGTGATGCTGTGTGCTTGCACTGCATTCACAGTCACATACACACATCACGTTAACACACACATAAAATACATACAATTCAGAAAATGTGACCTGTGGATGGGCAGCTTGCTCCAAGGTCTCTGCAACTAGCCCTAGAGTTCTAGTTAGGATCCCAGTTGGATCCCAGTTGGAAACTGATGGGCCTTGCCTTTTGATGCTCTTGTATTCCCCACAGACAATCAAGAACATGATGGAGATTGAGAAAGTAAAAGGCTTCTGCCAGGTAGTGGTGGCCAGCAAGGTTCGAGAGGGACTGGCCCACCTCATCCAGTCTTGTGGCCTGGGCGGCATGAGACATAACTCCGTGGTGTTGGGCTGGCCCTACGGCTGGCGACAGAGTGAGGACCCTCGTGCCTGGAAGACCTTTATTGGTGTGTGAGGGTCTGGCATCTAAGCTGGGCCAGGGACCAAGGGCCAGGGTTAAAGTGAGGTGGCAGAGACCAGAGGGTCACAGGCTGGTAGTCAGCAGTGACCCTCCTCCCTAGACACTGTGCGCTGTACCACAGCTGCCCACCTGGCCCTGCTGGTGCCAAAGAACATAGCTTTCTACCCCAGCAACCATGAGCGCTACCTGGAGGGCCACATTGACGTGTGGTGGATCGTGCATGATGGAGGCATGCTTATGCTTTTGCCCTTCCTGCTACGCCAACATAAGGTGTGCCAGTTGGTCGGGCATGGGTGAGGGTAGCTGGGCTCCTGGAAGGCTAGGTGTGATTGAACCACTCACATGCTTCATTGCCACAGGTTTGGAGGAAGTGCCGGATGCGCATTTTCACTGTGGCCCAGATGGATGACAACAGCATCCAGATGAAGAAGGATCTAGCCATCTTCCTGTATCACCTCCGTCTGGAAGCCGAAGTGGAGGTGGTGGAGATGGTGAGCTGCCTGCCCTGCTCAGGCCCTGAGGATCCAGGACCATACAGCCTATACTCATAGCTTCCACTCTCTCCAGCATAACAGTGACATCTCTGCATATACCTATGAGCGGACACTGATGATGGAGCAGCGGTCTCAGATGCTGCGGCAGATGAGGCTGACCAAGACCGAGCGGGATCGAGAAGTAAATGGCTATCTTGGTTCATGCTTGGGTAATGGCCAGATCACACCTTTGAAGACATTGTCTGGTAGAGGAATCAGAATGACTCACTTGACCAGGCATAATGGCTCATATCCATAACAGCAGCACTCAGAAAGCTAAGACCCGTGGATTCCTGTGAGTTTGAGGCTGGCCTGGTCTGCATAATGAGTTCCAGGCCAGCCAAGGCTACATAGTAGAACCCTGTCTTCAAAAACAAACAAAACCAGGCAAACAAAAAGTGGGCAAAAAGCTTATGCCTATAATTCCAGTACTTAGGAAGCTGAGGCAAAAGGCCAGCCTGTCTTGAACTAACAAACAAAAAACCTCACCCATTCCACCTGAACTAGAACCAATCAGTGCCCATTTCCCAGAGGCAGGGTGGTCATGTTAGACCCAGTCAGGCCCCCATTTTCCCAGGGTATCAAGGATACACCCTCTGATTGTCCTCAGGCCCAGCTGGTCAAAGACAGGCACTCAGCCCTGCGGCTAGAGAGCCTTTACTCAGATGAGGAGGATGAGGCTGCAGCAGGGGCTGACAGGATCCAGATGACATGGACCAGAGACAAGTACATGCCTGAGCCCTGGGACCCTAGCCATGCCCCCGACAACTTCCGGGAGCTGGTGCACATTAAGCCGTGAGTACAAATGACGTTGAGGAGTGGGAACAGGCAAACTGTGCAGATGAGCCAAGGACAGAGACCTCTTTGCTAGTTAGTTCTCAGTAGCCTGTGATCAGTTGCTTTGTCTGCAGGGATCAGTCCAATGTACGGCGCATGCACACTGCTGTGAAGCTCAATGAAGTCATTGTCACACGCTCCCATGATGCCCGCCTAGTCCTACTGAACATGCCTGGTCCCCCTAAGAACAGTGAGGGTGATGAGAACTGTATCCTTTTGTGTAAAGGCTGACAGTAGGGAGCTATCCTCTCCTTGAGTGTCCCTGGGTGGCTAGGAAGCAGTAGACTTGGTCCAGTCGCTGCCTCCTTGACCTGATACCCTACAGACATGGAATTCCTTGAAGTGCTGACTGAGGGCCTTGAACGAGTGTTGTTGGTGCGTGGAGGTGGCCGTGAAGTCATCACCATCTATTCCTGAGCCCAGTGGAGTCTCGTGGCCTGGAGTTGGGGTGTCTAGGACAACAGTCCCTACCCCTACACCTACTTGCCAGTTCTGCTTTGCCCAGCCTTGCTTTGGACCAGTTTTGCTAGGTCTCCTGGGAAACCAAGCTTGGACCTGGCAATTTAAATGGATCCGAGGGCCCATGGAGCCTGGGGGATATAGGCATTTTCACCCATACCCCAGTGTAGGCTTATCCTGACTAGAGAAGACTGGTGAGGGTTAATATGGGATTTGAAGTCCCAGTCTGGCCCAGGAGCGCTATTTATTGTATATTTATTGTTTGGATGTCATCATCAGAGAAGAGGGGAGGGATACTAAGAGGGGGAACTGAGCTGGGCCTGCCTGCAGGAAGACCTGGCTCAGGCTGCTGTGGGCAGAGACTCTCATCAAGCCAAGTGGAATGGAGCTGGCCAAGTTGAGCCTGACTTTTTTCAATAAAACATTGTGTATTTCTGGGCGTCCTGCTGCCCCAGCTCTTTTTCCCCTGGCGCCAAGGGAAGAAAGAACTGAACCCAAATCCATAGCCAGATCCCTAAGGCTATGCCCCTTCCTGGCCACCCCCATTGGTGGTTCTGTCCCTCCCACTGGCCCTGGGGCCCCTCCCATCCTCAGTCTAGATAAGACCAGCCTAGGACTGCCTCATCTGGCAGTAGGCACTGGGCTGGAATGGGGCTGCCTGGCTCCCCATGGCAGTGGGTGCTGCTGCTGTTGGGGCTGCTGCTCCCTCCTGCCACCCCCTTCTGGCTCCTCAATGTGCTCTTCCCCCCGCAAACCACGCCCAAGGCTGAACTCAGTAACCACACAAGGCCTGTCATCCTCGGTAAGCCCCCACTAGGCCCCTGATGCATCAAGCAAGACTTTGGGGAGCCTGGGTCTTAGCCCCTGACAGCAGCAGATGCTGTCAAAATTCTTCTGCCCCACCATTAGTGGGTCTTAGCCCCCTCATACCTGTGGGGAAGGGGCAAAGCCTAGTTCTACAGAGATACCACCCCTCTCCCCTTCACACTGTTCTATGTCTAAGTTGTCTTCAGGGGCTTAGGGTTGGGGTGGTGGTCAGTAAATGGGATGTGGTTTGCCTGACCGTAGCCAGGGCACCTCAAACTATGGCCAGCTCCAGATACACTGGATACTAGGTTAAGCCCCACTACTTCCTTGGCTTCTACTTTACCAAGAAGGAGATACCCAGTCCAGTGCCAGATAGCACAAGAGGTCCATAAATGCCTCCCTCCCGTTCTAGGCCCAGCCCATGTTCCCTCGTACCTATTTGTTCTCTCCTTGGACTTTGGCAATAATGGAAAGCCAAGCTGGATGTTTGTTTTGTGGGGGCAGGGGTCAGTGGCTTGGTTCCTGCACCTTCCCTGCCTAAAGGGAGCCTGGATGTTGCAGTACTGGTGGGGCAGTAGGAAGTGTGGTGGAGAGAAGATAGATATGGTTAGAGGGTGTGGGAAATGGAGGGGTGGGCGTTTTTTGGTGGTAGGGTGGGGGGTTGGAGAGAAGCCAAGAAGTCCAGAACAAAAGCTGGTGCCCACAGTGCCTGGCTGCCTGGGGAATCGGCTGGAAGCTAAGCTGGATAAACCAGATGTGGTGAACTGGTTGTGCTACCGCAAGACAGAGGACTTCTTCACCATCTGGCTGGATCTCAATATGTTTCTACCCCTTGGGGTGGACTGCTGGATTGATAATACCAGGTATGTTCCATGTGCCCTACCCATCCTCTACACATTTCCCCTGGTTACTGGTTGCTAAATGTTCCACTGTCCCCAGGGTTGTCTACAACCGCAGCTCTGGGCACGTGTCCAATGCTCCTGGTGTACAGATCCGTGTTCCTGGCTTTGGCAAGACCTACTCTGTTGAGTACTTAGATGACAACAAGCTAGCAGGTGTGTCTACTCAGGGAAAGGAAGGGGCTCTTGGCCATCAGGCTGGCATACAGGTATGATGGACAGAGTTCCCTATATTGCTGCCTCCCCACAGGTTACATGCACACACTGGTACAGAATCTGGTTAACAATGGGTATGTGCGGGATGAGACAGTGCGGGCCGCACCCTATGACTGGCGTCTGGAACCCAGTGAGTGTTTACAGGTGGTGGGCTGGGGGCATGACAGGTGGTCCCAGACTCTCATTGCTCTGACCTATCTGCCCATCTTCAGGCCAGCAGGATGAATACTACCGGAAGCTGGCAGGACTGGTAGAGGAGATGTATGCTGCTTATGGGAAGCCTGTCTTCCTTATTGGGCACAGCCTTGGCTGCCTACATGTGCTCTACTTCTTACTGCGTCAGCCTCAGTCCTGGAAGGACCGCTTCATTGATGGTTTTATCTCTCTTGGGGCTCCTTGGGGTGGCTCTATCAAGCCCATGCTGGTCATGGCCTCAGGTGAGGATCCTCTTGATCACTGTCATCCTGGGCAGGGTGAGGGTGGGATGAAACAGATCACAGAGCTGGCTGTCACTCCAGCTGTGCTCAGTGTCCCCAGGGAAATTTTCTGTTCACTAGCTCCTTGAAGACAGCCATTAGGATGTCTCCTTGTAGAGTGTTTTAGTGATGATAAGGGAGGTGATAGAGGAGGCCAATCCAAGTAGTCTGTCAGCCCCAGATTTACTCTTTGTAGGCCCAGATCCTGTATACTCTGGCTTTTAGTTACTTTTCACTCCCCGGAGCACCATGCCCAGAAATCTGTTTTATTGAGGACATATCTACCGCAGCAGGGCCAAACCTAGGGATCCTTTATGCTCTTTTTCTTTTTTGGGGGGTGGCTTCCCTAGGAACCCAACACTAATATAGCCACCATTCACTGATCCCCATTTTCTACTGGGCACAGAAAGACCCAGCCTTCATTGTTAACATCCTCACCAGACTACACCACTGAATCTAAAACAGACACCGTCTAAACCTCCAAAAATACAATCTTGTGACTACTGTGCAGCATAGGCCCTTCACAGGACATTACACACACACACACACACTTCCCAGATCTCTCTTTCTCTTTTTTTGGTTTTCCAAGACAGGGTTTCTCTGTATTGCTTTGGAGCCTGTCTTGGAACTCTCTCTGTAGACCAGGCTGACCTCTGCCTCCTGTGTGCTGGGATTAAAGGCTTTCCGCCATCAACGCCCCAGCTGATCTCATTAACTGCTCCTCTTCCAGTACATACCATTTGAGGTCCTATAGCTCTGTCTTACAGAAATATCAACATAGCCTCTTATACAAACATTGAGCACTTAACACCAGGCCTGTTCCAGTCTGTGTCTTGGAATCAAGGTCAGGATGGGGCAGGACAAGTTTTTTGTTGTTGTTGTTTTGTTTTTTGAGACAGGGTTGCTCTGTGGCTTTGGAGCCTGTCCTGGAACTAGCTCTTGTAGACCAGGCTGGTCTCGAACTCACAGAGATCCGCCTACCTCTGCCTCCTGTGTGCTGGGATTAAAGGCGTGAGCCACTACCCACCGCCTGGCAGGACAAAGTTTAAGTGCTTCACTGAGGCAAATAGGGAGCCAGGCCCAGCTCCCTGTCCCACCTGGTTCTGTATCCACAGGTGACAACCAGGGCATCCCATTCATGTCCAGCATCAAGCTGAGAGAGGAGCAACGAATAACCACGACCTCCCCCTGGATGTTTCCAGCCCGCCAAGTATGGCCTGAAGACCATGTATTCATTTCCACACCAAACTTCAATTACACAGGCCAAGACTTCAAACGTTTTTTTGAGGATCTTCATTTTGAAGACGGATGGTACATGTGGCTACAGTCACGTGACCTGCTGGCAGGCCTCCCAGCACCTGGTGTAGAAGTATACTGTCTGTATGGTGTGGGTCTGCCCACACCTCACACATACATCTATGACCACAGCTTTCCCTACAAAGACCCAGTGGTCACCCTCTATGAGGATGGTGATGACACTGTAGCCACACGCAGCACTGAGCTCTGTGGCCGGTGGCATGGCCGCCAATCACAGCCTGTACACCTGATGCCCATGAATGGGACAGAACATCTCAACATGGTCTTCAGCAATAAGACATTGGAACATATCAATGCCATTCTCTCAGGTGCCTATCGCCATGGTATTCCTGAGGCCCCAGCTGCCAGCCCAGGTCCCCCACCCCCTGAATAAAGACCTTGGCTGTTATAAGTCCAAGTCCTGTGTGTTTTGGGTTAAGTGGAAGGCACTACTAGGATCCTTAAATGCATGTATCACCTGACCCAGGGTAACATGAGGTAAGATGGACTTTGCTAAGGCCTGAGATTGAACTGAACACTTTGAGATGTACAGATTCTCATTGTTCTGGTTGAGCTGCTCAGAAAGCCTGCCCTACACCTCCCTTCACGGTGCCTGTGTCCATATTCATATGTAGGTACAGCTGTGGGAATGGGGCACAGTGAAATATGATTTGAAATAGACATGAATTCTGGTTGGATACAAGAGTTGAAAATAGGGCCAGGTATGTTGGTTCCTTCTAGCACTCAGGAGGCAGAGGCAAGCAGATCTCTGTAATTTTGAGGTCAGCCTGATATATATTGTTACAGGACAGCCAGAGCTACACAGAGAAACCCTATCTTGAAAAAACAAACAAAACAACAACAAAGTAAAATTGCCTGTTGCTGCATCCCAGCACTTGGGAGGCAGAGGCAGGTGGATCTTAGTTCAAAGCCAGCCTAGTCTACAGAGTGAGATCCAGGACAGCTAGGACTACACGGAGAAACCCTGTCTTGAAAAACCAAAGGGGGGAGGAGGTGGCTCAGAGGTTAAGAGCTGCTCTTCTAGATGTCTTGAGTTCAATTCCCAGCAACCACATGGTGGCTCACAACCATCTATAATGAGATCTGGTGCCCTCTTCTGGCTTGCAGTTATACATGCAGGCAGAACACTATATATAATAAATCTTTTGTTTTTCTTTTTTTTAAAGTAAGCTCTGGGATTCCATAGCCAGCATTTAGGGGCTGGAGAGATGGCTCAGAAGACCACTGGCTCCTCTTCCAGAGAACACAGGTTTAATTCCCAGCACCCACATGGCAGCTCACAACTGTTTGTAACTCCAGCTGTAGGGGATCTGATACCCTCACAAAGACATATATGCAGTTGAAACACCAATGCACATAAAAATAAATAGATCAGAGCAGTGGTGACACACACCTTTAATCCCAGCACTTGGGAGGCAGAGGCAGGCAGATCTCTTTAAATCTGAGGCCAGCCTGGTATACAGAACTAGTTCCAGGATAGCCAGGGCTACACAGAGAAACCCTGTCTCAAAATAAATAAATAAAAGTTTAGAGCTAGGCAGTGATTGCACAGGCCTTTAATCTCTGCATTCAAGCCAGCCTGGTCTACAGATTGAGTTCCAGGACAGTCAGGACTGCATAGAGAATCCCTGTCTCAAAAACCAAAAAGAAAAATGTTTAGGATCTGAAGGAATGACAATTCATCTAAAGAAGGCTTAATTTGGGGCTTCAGAGATAGCTCAGAAGTTAAGACCACTTGTTGCATTTGAAGAGGACCTGGGTTTGGTTCCCAGTATCCTCATGAAGCCTTCTTTTGACCTTGGTGGGCCCCTAGCATGCATATTGACACATTCACTCATACACATAATTAAACCTAAAAGGACTTAATTGATACTTTGTTGTTGTTGTTGTTTGTTTTTTTCGAGACAGGGTTTCTCTGTGGCTTTGGAAGCTGTTCTGGAACTAGCTCTTGTAGATCAGGCTGGTCTCGAACTCACAGAGATCCACCTGCCTCTGCCACCGGAGTGCTGGGATTAAAGGCGTGTGCCACCAACGACCGGCAATTTATACTTATTTTTAAAGCATTGTATGTGTATGTGTTTTGCCTGCATATCTACATGTACTTGCAGTGCTCACATGGAGGGGGGGCAGGGTGTCAGATGAGATGGGAATGGAGGAACAGAGGAGCACCATCCTGGCCAGGGTTACAGCATGCACTTCCTTAAGTTACCTGGGACTAGAAGAAAAAGATGAAAGTGAAACAGAACATACTAGCCTCTGAACTAGGGTGAAGGTGAAAGTGAAAGTGGGAAGTGTACAAAAAAAAAAAAAAAAAAAAAAAAAAAAAAAAAAACACAGAAGCCGAAGCAGACGCCTTTCTGATCCCCCTGGCTTCACTCTGTTCGTCTGGTCCACCCATCGACCCCCGGATCTCAGTTGGCTTTCCTGCCCCGAGATGCTGAAGCAGGCAGTGGAACACAGAGGAGGCTTCTCTTTCGAGAACTGCCAGAGGTGAAGGGGGAGTGGAGATTTGGTTTCGAGCAGCTGGTGCTCAACTGTAGGCCTTTTTTTTTTTTTTCTTTTTGGTGGAGGTGGGGAACCTGATGTTGGGTTACCAAGTAGGGCCTTAACTCAGGAGATAACGAAAGCAGAGATGGTTTTGGGGACGGGTTCAAGGATCCTCCCTAGAATCAGAGCTGAAATGCGAGTCACCCCATTGTTTACAGGAATGCGTCCTTGGAACAGGTCCTCTCGGGCCTTCGGGTCCCTCATGCACGCAAAACCGGGACTACCATCGCGGGACTTGTGTTCCGAGTGAGCAGGGTGATAGGCCTGGAGGGCTAGAATGGCGCCAATGTGGAGAATATCGGGTGGGCATTAAGGCCAGGCTCTTCCTCTGCAGGATGGAGTTATCTTGGGCGCGGATACACGGGCCACTAACGATTCGGTCGTGGTGGACAAAAGCTGCGAGAAGATCCACTTCATCGCCCCCAAAATCTAGTAAGAATTCCCCAGCCCAGCCCCCACTCTCAAACAAAAGCTGCACTGTCACGCCCTAGGCTGCCCCTGCACATCCCTGTCCACACCCGCCGTCCCTTTCCCCTCAGCTGCTGTGGAGCTGGAGTGGCTGCGGACACTGAGATGACCACGCGGATGGCAGCTTCCAAGATGGAGCTACACGCGCTGTCCACCGGCCGTGAGCCTCGGGTGGCCACGGTCACCCGTATCCTGCGCCAGACACTCTTCCGGTGAGGAAGTAGGGTGAAGGGGTCATCTGCAGGTAGGCGGGGTCGACAGGAGTGGGGGACCGAAGAGAGACCGGAAGAAGCCAGGCGGGGTCTAACCAAAATTGAGTTCCGGAAGAAGCAATTGTAGAACGCCAGGTCACAGGAAGGGGTGGGACTCAGATCGAGAAGTGGCATAAGGGGCGGGCCTGGCACCAGCTGGCAATATCAGCGCCCACTGGTCCACAGGTACCAAGGCCACGTGGGAGCATCACTGATCGTGGGCGGGGTTGATCTGACCGGGCCTCAACTCTATGGCGTGCACCCCCACGGTTCCTACAGCCGTCTGCCCTTTACTGCCCTGGGTGAGTGCTTCCATCCTTTCCCCACGAACTTTCCCCTGCCATCCTACCTTCAAGGTTTGTTTCCCAGATGCAGCTACAGCTGACTTCAGATGTCCCTTTCCACCTTCAGGCTCTGGACAGGATGCAGCCTTGGCACTGTTGGAGGACAGGTTCCAGCCAAACATGACGGTGAGCAACTTCAGCCCATTACTTCATGCTCACAGGTGGGGAGTGCCCCCCTCCCCCCCAAAAAAAAAAACCCTGGTCAAATATAGAAATAAGGCAGGCTTGTAGGGAAGAAGGTAACACCTGAGTAGGGACTGAATAATGTTGAAGGTCCAGTCGGGAATCAAGGTTAGATTGGTTAGTTGAAGCCCACAAAGGATCATTAACGGAAGGAAGAGGTAAAGCCCAGTGGTATATGAGGTTTCAGGTCTGGACTTTGGAGTGGGATAGAAATAGAGATAACTAAGACCCAGAGAGAAACTCAGTGACAGAGGACTACATTGGTGGGTGGGAGGATTGCTGGAAGGGGCCTTATAAGTGTAAGGGACACTGAGAAGTTTGTACACAGGACAGTGGGTGGAGGGAACACAGGGTTTTGGGAGAGGGGGAGTCAGAAGCTAAGGGAATGAAGGGAATGAAGGGAAAGGAGGTTGGGCTTGCACAAATGGCAAATTGTCTAGGCTTCAAGATTAACAAAATCCTCAGAGTGAGACAACACCAGGTTCATTTAGTGTCATTCACACTACCACAGCTGGAGGCTGCACAAGAGCTGTTGGTGGAAGCCATCACTGCAGGGATCCTGGGTGACCTGGGCTCTGGAGGCAGTGTGGATGCATGTGTGATCACTGCAACAGGCGCCCAGCTGCTGAGGACACTGAGCTCTCCCACAAAGCCAGTGCAGAGGTAGGAGCAGGGGGAGGGAGGACTATAGGGGGACTGCAGTCTTAGCCAGGGTGGCAAATGGGAGGTCTTCCAGAACAGGACAGGATACATGCTGAAAGGCTGGCCCTCCTCCCTTCTAGAACTGGCCGTTACCACTTTGCTCCTGGAACCACAGCTGTCCTGACCCAGGAAGTAAGACCTCTGAACCTGGAGCTTCTGGAGGAAACGGTGCAGACCATGGAGGTGGAATAAAGTGGCCTAAGACTTAGAGCTTGGTACAGGGGGAATAAACCCCGGAAATACAAACATTTAAACAGAAGACTGTGTCATTCTTTCTTCTATTTTACATTTATTTATTATGTATATAGTGTTCTGTCTGCATGTCAGCCTGCAGGCTAGAACACCAGACCTCATTACAGATGGTTGTGAGCCACCACCATGTGGTTGCCGGGAATTGAACTCAGGACCTCTGGAAGAGCAGCCAATGCTCTTAACCAATGAGCTCACGACTGTCTCATTCTTGAGGAGTGGGACAAGCAGCCATAGAAGCTTTGTGGCAGAGGTATCTAAGGACCCTGAGGCCTGGTTCCTGGCCTGCTCTTCATCTTTACCTCAGGAATCTGTCCATTCAGAATCCCAGGCCTAGCCAGCAGGCTTTGAGATGGAAAGCTACATCTTATCATCCCCAAACCTAACTCCACATGGTAGAAGCTTACCCCACAAATCGCCCCCGTCTTGTAAGACCCCATGGACAGCCCCTACTCATAGCCTTTCTCTGGCTTATCAGTGACCCCCTACTGCCACCAGGTCCACCCAGGATCCTAAGGGGCTAAAATGCTGATAAAGCAACTAAGGGCAAGTTCTCACCAAGCACTCCTCACTACAGTGCCTCTACTTATGTCACTCTCAGATGACCAGGCATGTGTGAGCCACTGGTGAAAAGCTAGGGCTTGTCTGCACATGTGGGGCTGTGAGTAGGGAAATTGACTCCAAGTTCTCTGGGCTGATAGGGGTCATGGACTCATGGGAAAAGATGACACATTTAACAAGAAACCTTTGCTAAATAAGCACCTGTTGAGTGCCAGGCCCACTGGGTGCTGGTGGGAACATCCTGCTCTCAGAGTAGCTAAGCTCCACTGGGCCTTCAGAATGGATAAACCACATTCTCCAGAGAGGTTTTCCAGGCTGGATGTCCTTGGCCCCTGACTGTATTCCCTAACATTTTTTTTTTTTTTAGATTCTATTTTTTTTTAATTAATTTATTATGTATACAATCTTCTGCCTGCACACCAGCAGAGGGCACCAGATCTCATTCAAGGTGGTGTGAGCCACAATGTGGTTGCCGGGAATTGAACTCAGGACCTCTGGAAGAACAGTCAGTGCTCTCAACCGCTGAGTCATCTCTCCGGCACCCTAACATTTTATTATAAAAATTTTATATACAATAGTAAAGTTAAGGGAATTGTTCACTAAACATATGTCTACCAGACTTTATAATTCACATTTTGTTGTATTTGATCTTATGTTTATTCATTCCTTTATTTACCCATTTACTTCTTTCATTTTTTAGACTGAGGCATTATTTTTTAATATTTTTTAAAATTGGCTAGGCAGTGGTGGCACACACCTTTAACCCCAGGACTTGGAAGACAAAAGCAGTTGGATCTCAGTGAGTTTGAGGTCAGCCTGGTCTATAAAGTGAGTTCCAGGACAGCGAGGACTGTTACACAGAGAAACCCTCTCACAAAACAATATGTATGTATGTATGTATGTATGTATGTATATAAATATATATATATATATATTTAATATTTATTTTACATCCCAACTGCAGTTTCTACTCCCTCCTTACCTCCCATTCCCTCCCCTATACTGAGGTATTCTTGAACCAGTTAAAGCCTTTGATATCCTAGAAAAAGTCAAGCCAACTCACCTGCTCAACTCTGCACACAGAAACACCTTCTCTCTCTCCACTGGTTAAGCTCAGCCTGGAGCTCAGTAACACATGAATTGTGGACAGATTTGCCCATGGCAATCTGAGGTCTAGAAACAGATTTCATGGCTGTCACTCTTGTACTTCCAGCTTTCGTCCAGAGTGTCTCAGTCACTGAGGGCTCACTCACACTTACAGAAATGTAGGTCTTAGAGCTAGACATGTGAGGATTTGTGTCCCATCCTTCCTCATGCTGGTAAGACAGTCAGCATCTCTGGGCAAACCTCTGACTCCTGTTCCATGCTGATGAGAAATGATTAATTTAGGATTCAGAACCTCCATCCCTGGCCTTCACAGCAGAGCTGGATACATCTGACCATTCTTCCACCAATCATCTTACCCCTATGTTCTGAGCAGGCTTTTCTGGGAGTCCACTCCTGATAGCCCTGGGAAACTTCATAGGTTCCAGCCACCAGGTTGATAGTTTAGACCTAGTTAAGCCATATGTCCATGGTACCCAGTGACCAACACTTGAGATAGTAGGTGGTTCAGAACGCCAATAGGAAGCCAAAGTTTGGGGAGCCACCTCCCCAAGGTGAGAGCCTCACACCTGGCTACGTGATAATTCCAAGGACTTTGGCCTAAGACCTCCCCTAGGCAGGTGTGGGAGTGTGCTAAGACCACACAGCTGGCCTCGTCTCAAGCTCAAGACCTCTGCCCAAGGACAAGGATACCCATAAATAAAGCCAAGCTAGTCTCAACCTCATCCATTATCTTCCACAATGTTACTGCTCAGCCTAACCCTCAGCCTGGTCCTCCTTGGCTCCTCCTGGGGTAAGTGGGCTAGAAGCAACCCTGATTGAACAACCTAGGACAATTTAGCTCCCAGCTCCTGTTTAGGGGCTCAGAGAAGAAGCCAGCCTGGCTAGAAGAGAAATGGACAGTGCAGGCAAAAGAAAACCGATGTTCCTAGGCAAAAAAAAAAAAAAAAAAAAAAAAAAAAAAAAAAAAAAAAAATATACAGGGGTCAGGGTGAGGAAAAAAAAAAAAAAAAAAAAAAAAAAAAAAAAAAAAAAAAAGAGCCTTCAGGGCTGGGAGTGAGGGAAGAGCCAAGGACCAGTCTCGCAAATGAGACAGGAGATTGAGCCAGACCTGAGAAGACTCAGGAAAACACGAAAGATGTGTATAGTCTATACAAAGCAGACTTCAATTGCTCAGGCCTAGAATAGAGGGCCAAGGAGAAGACCCCAGGAATCAGGTAGAAAAGTGGCCTTAAGAACATTAGGACTAGGTTGGTTGGTTGGTGTGATGGAGTTACGGTGTGATGCTGTGGCATTTGAAGGATGGTAGGATGGAGTAACCAATATAGCTGTGTATGCCTGGAAGGCACCCATGAGAAGGGCTAGAGAGTAATCCTCTTGATTTTCATCCCTCTGGAATATGCAGCTTGGGGGCACCTTAAGGAAGAATGTAGGGAGAGGTAGGCTGGGATGTGGATCCTTACCAGCCCTGTGTTCAGGCTGTGGTGTTCCTGCCATCACACCTGTATTGAGCTCCACCCAGAGGATTGTCAATGGGGAGAACGCAGTGCCTGGCTCCTGGCCCTGGCAGGTGTCTCTGCAGGTACACACTCTGGGGGAGGATCAGGGTCCTGCATGCCTTATGCCTATGGGTAACTTAAGCCCATTCAGATATCTAACTTTTGACCCTAGGAAAGCAATGGCTACCACTTCTGTGGTGGTTCTCTCATCAGCCCGAACTGGGTAGTCACTGCTACCCACTGCCAAGTCACGTGAGTGTAATCTACCTTCCCTGCCCAGTCCATCTCTTTCACTTCCTTCCCTTGGGTTCCCCCTCTGTGACTCCCTAGCAGCTACCCATTCCCATTATCCTTGCAGTCCTGGACGACACTTTGTTGTTTTGGGAGAATATGACCGATCTTCCAATGCTGAGCCTGTGCAAGTGCTATCCATCTCGAAGGTAAGTACCTGGCTGCACATGGAAAAAGGAAAAATGGGCTTCAGGTGGCTTTGGACACATAAACTCTGGCATGCCCCGACCTAACCCTGAGCACCAACCTTGGGGACCTGCACCTGGTTCCAGCTCTCCATGGCTCTTTCCTGGCTCCATAGGCCATTTCACACCCTAATTGGAACCCCACCAATTTGAACAATGACGTGACACTCCTGAAGCTCGCCTCACCAGCCCGGTACACATCACGAATCTCACCAGTCTGCCTGGCTTCCTCAAATGAGGCACTACCTGCAGGCCTCACATGTGTCACCACTGGCTGGGGCCGCACCAGTGGTGTGGGTAAGAACTCGGGTAAGAATGAGGGGGGTCAAGAATAAGCATCCTGGGCTGGCCTGACCACCTTTCCTGGCCCACAGGCAATGTGACACCAGCACGTCTGCAGCAAGTAGTTCTACCCCTGGTCACTGTGAATCAGTGTCGGCAGTATTGGGGTTCAGATATTACTGATTCCATGATCTGTGCAGGTGCCTCAGGTGCCTCTTCCTGTCAGGTAAGCATAGGCACTCTGTCCTCTGAACTGTCCCATGGCATACTTCCCCAAACTGACATACCAACTTTTCCTTTTTTCCTCCCTTTCAGGGTGACTCAGGAGGTCCTCTTGTCTGCCAGAAAGGAAACACATGGGTGCTTACTGGTATTGTTTCCTGGGGCACTAAGAACTGCAATGTGCGAGCACCAGCAGTATACGCTCGGGTTAGCAAGTTCAACACCTGGATCAACCAGGTCATGGCCAACAACTAAACTGTTCGAAAGATCCTTTCCCCATCTCAATCCAATAAAGACACCAGGCTCAGTTCTCTTGTGTACCTTTGTCTTCCATCCTGGCTTAGTGGAAAGGACTGGTTCTTGAGAACTCTACCTTGACCTGGACTTTGTCATCCCAGGCTACTCCTCTTTTTGAACAATCCATTAGTCCCATGGCACAGTCAGGGTAGCCAGAAAAAAAATGGCAGCCTTCCCTGGGGAGGCGCCTGTTTATTGGATACAGAAGATACATTTACAGAGTACACAAAATAAATAACTACACATTCTCCATCCATGGTCCATGGCATGAAGGCCTGGTGGACCTATCAAAGGCCCAAGGCACATACTCCCTCTGCCCTATCCTCACAACCAGACATATTTTGGGCAAGAAAGAAAATAAATCCCCAGTGGTTCACACCCACAGAGATTCCTGGGGAACTAGTGGGGGAAAAGGATTCTGAGGCTGTGAGGCTCAGGTCCACCACGGCCTCCTGTTCAGGGGCAGGAGGATGTAAGGAGAGGGTAAAGAAGGCACAGTTGACTTGGCACAGAGTGGTCTCTTTGGTATCCCAATGGAGGTGGCATCGTAGAAAGAGGGCCTAGCCCAAGGCTGCCTACTGAAAGGAGCTAAGTGGGAATCAGACTTCCTGCTGACAGAGGCTTGCTTAGTCTAGCTAAGGCTAAAGCAAGGCTCTGTCTGACCCCTTCCTACCCACAGAGAGCAGCTACAGAGGGAGGGAGCTTGGATTCCAGCCTAATGTGGTGGTAGGGAAACCATGACAACTATAGGAACTGCTGTGGCTCAGTTCTCTGGGAAAGCAGCCCCTGCAACACTACCCTACCTCCCAAAAGAGCTCCCTCCAGCCTGACTCAGTGGGGCCAACCTGGAAAGTTAATGCTATGAAAAGAAGTGGACACAGGGCAGATAGGGCAAGGCCAGCTCTTACAGCAAGGTCAGCACCCAAGGCACCCGGGGTTCAGAGGCAGGTAACACAGTACGGCTAAGTTCCAGGGTGAGGTTTGAAGAAGCTGAGCAGAAGGGGAGTTGAGCAGCCCAGGACTCTCCCCCAGTTCAGCAACTCCTTTCTTTCCTCTTCCTTTTCGACGGTTGTGGGTTGCAAGGGTGTGCACCAGTCACCACCCCTCCCCCGGCCACCTATACCCAGACCAGACACTAGATGGTGCCATTGTGGAGCTGTAAAGAGGGCATGGCAGCTTTAGAAAAGGAACCAGCAAAGGGCAATACCCAAAGATAAAACGAAGGTTGACAAATGGAATTCTGAGGAGAACCCTTTTCAGGAACATCCATCCCCCAGGTAGCAGCAGTGGATCTCCCTTTAACCCCTCACAGTTGGGAAGGAGGCAGCTGGGGAATGAAATGGACATCCAAGTAGGAAGAGGGAGACAATACTCAGCTCTGCAAAGGTACAGAGGCCGACAGGCAGGATCTCTCTCATAGAGAGGCTGGAGTCTAAAGATAAGGTCCTGCCACAGTCCTACCACAAGAGGTCCTGGCAATTCTGGGGGCTAGAAGGGGTTCCTGGTGGCACCATGAAGAAAGACTGCTCTTGGCTAGGGAAAATGGTGGGGTTGCTTGGATCTAACTGGGCCTAAGGGACCAGTGAGACACCTGGGGTTTGCAATCTAATCCAAGACCTCCCACTGGAGCATAATCTTAAGGGTCAGCATGACATAGGATGGGAGTTAGACCAATGCTTTGTGGAGGAAAGGGAGGCTATAAAAGTAATGGATTCAGAGTCCTGAACCATAGGACTCTTTCTACTTAACACTATATAGACTCCTCTGGTCCAAGAAAGAGGCAAACATTAAGGACATCAGTGGGGACTGGGTCCTGCCCTTTCTTCCAACTCAGAGCAGCTGCCTACCAGGCTCCCAGTTTAGATGATCCTGGGCCACCATGCCATCATAACAGGCCCAGGCCTATGATAGGAGGTAGGGACTACTAACGGCACAGAGAAGAGCTGGGTATAGACAAGCTCTGGCCATGATGCCGAGATACAGAGAAGTTATTGGGCCCAGGTGACAAAGCAGAGAGTGGCCAGGATGAGACAATAGTGTGTGGCTCAACCATTATACTGCTGCTGATAGCGCAGGTTGAGCTCCCGCAGTTCCCGCTCCCGAACACGGCGTGACTTGTTGGAGCGTGTAGAGCGGCTGGAACGTGTGGACTGTGAAGATTTGGTGCTTTGGCAACGAGAGGAAGCACGCTTGAGGAGATTCTGGGAGATGGATCGGTGCAGATTCTTCATGGAAGAAGAGGCTGCCATGCTTACTACCCATGGGTGTCTCAGGGCCTGCAGTGCAGTCATCCGGGCTCCAGGGTCCACTGTCAGCAGGCGGTCAATGAAGTCCTTGGCCAGATTAGATACACTAGGCCAGGGCTAGAAGCCAAAGACAAGCATTTGTGTGAGAGGACTCAACATTGCCCTCCCATCTGGATGACTCCACTGTAACACTAGGATCTACCCTGCATTTGGGCAGCACTCCTCCTCTCATGCAGTATACTAGAACTCCTTTCTCTTCTCCTCAGTGCTGACTCAGTTACTAAGCAGGTGCTGCTTGGTGATGAGTCTGAGGAGGAGGAAGGGATCCATCATCTACCCTGGGGAGCAATTTTAAGTGCTCTGTCCCCAAAGCCTGACTAAAGGAGGTGGACCTGCCAAGACCCCTAACCTACCCTAGGGAGACTTCTTTTTAAACAGGCTTTCTATGTATAGTCCTGGCTGTCCTGGAACTAAATATGTACATCAGGCTGGCCTGTAACTCACAGGGATCTACCTATATCTTCTTCCTGAGTGCTGGGATTAAAGGCGTGTGCCACCACATCTGGCTGGGAGATTTTTTTTCAACATTTATTTTTTATGTGTGCAGGTACCCATGGAGGATAGATGGATCTGGAGTTTCAGGCAGCTGTGAGCCCTCCGTGGGTCCTGGCAACTGAACCTAGGTCCTTTCCAAGGATAGTTCTTACCTGCTGAGCCATCTCTCCAGTTCTCCTAGATTTTTTAAGTAATCCAATTGTTTTTTTCACTATGTCTAAGCTCCAACAACCATCTGTAGGGCCAAGTTGAGTAGAAGGGATTTTCACAATCCTTACTGAGAGGGTCTCACCTTCTAACTTCCAAGGAATTCCCCCTCAGCCTCCAGGCACCAAGAGAAAACAACATTTAATGAATCTATATTTCTCAGTTTGGTGACAGAGTAGGAACTTCTGGGGACAGATAAAGAGGCACTTTTCAGTTTGTATGACTTCTTTGAGCCACAAAAGCTCCTGTAATTAGCCATGTATAGTGGTACACGCCTTTAATCTGAGCATTTGGGAGACAGAGGCTGGCAGATGCCCATGAGTTTAAGGCCAGTATGTTCTGCACAGTGAGACCCTATCTCAAAACAAAAAGACAATTCCTATAAGTATGTGCCAGCTTCCTTCTAGTACATTTCTATTCCTACAGAGATCCTAAAAACCTGTTCTGCTCCAAGTAACCAGAGCTGCCTTGTCTTAGTCACTCACCAAGCAGCTGTCAATCCCTGGATCTCAGCCTCCCTAACTTGTCTTTACTTGGATGAACTTAAATTCTAAGGATAAAGGGCATTTCCTTAGATGCTCTCCTAGTCCCCACTGCTTACAATTACTCTAGTCTGTGAGCTCCAAGCTGATTACTCCCCTTAGATGGTACTGAACCCTAGTGCATGGTGTAACAGACACAGAAGGTACTCAGTAGGTACAATTGTAGTGAGTAACCACAGTGGGTGCTGTCAAATGGGTATCCTTTGGGGAAGCTGCTGCAGCCATGGAACTCAGCCTAGTGGGGCTAAGTGCTGAGGATCCTTAAGCTGACCCATCAGAGGACAGGTTCTGGGGCCCTGAATCTCCTGAGAGAATTTCTAGAAAGGGCTCTGATGTTCCTTAAAGGGTAGACAGCCAGGTAATTCCCTGTTCTGCTGTACAGGCTCTAGTAGGATGCCAGGGGCACCATTGCTTTCTTTACTGCTAGGTGAAGGCTGTCCTACTTCCATGGCACCTTCACCTTGGGGAGCCTCTTAGCATGCTCTCCAGGGCAATTAGGCACACCTGACAAGAATCCATGTGTCTAGTTAACAAAGACACACACACCTGCTGATTCATATGGCCCTAGTAGGGCTCCTTTGACCTCTTGCTACACAACTTCCTAACTTCTAGACAGAAGTGATGCAGAGAGAAGACTGGTCTGGACTCCTAAGGAAGAGGTAGGTGGTTTTCTTGCAGTCACTGTCCTCACTTGCCTGTTAGAAAGCACATCTTTCTGGGCAGTAATGGCACATGCCTTTAATCCTACCACTCAGGAGACAGATGCCGGCAGATCTCTGTGAGTCTGAGGCTGCCTCACAGTGTGACTTCCAGGACAGCCAGGACTATACAGAGAAACAAAACCTGTGCAAAAAACACAAAGGAAGGAAGGAAGGAAGGAAGGAAGAAAGGAAGGAAGGAAGGAAAGATACCCATTCACATAAAGATTTTTTTTTTTCTTTAAAGAAAGTCCTGTGGATTGCTGCTGCCACCTGAGCACAAGCCTCTGGCCTCTCATGAGATGGAAACAGCAGGCCTATCAGAGCATCTGAAGAACACAGTAAGCCTAGAGCTAAACAGAGTAGATCAGAATACCTGTGTTGTGCCCTATAACTCTGGTAACTAGGAAAGATACTGCAGCCCAGCCTAGCTTGTTGGAAAAATGGCTCCAAGGCATCCCAGGGTACTCTGAACAGAGCTGAATGAATCTGAGTCTGTCCCTTACTCGATTCTGAATAGAAGAAACAAGTCCTAAGCCAGGCATTTCGGTACACACATAAGATTCCAGAACTTAGCTGGGCAGTGATGGTACACACCTTTAGTACTAGCACTTGGGCACAGGCAGGTGGATCTCTCTGAGTTTAAGGGCAACCTGGTCTACAGAGTGAATTCCAGGACAGCCAGAGCTACACAGAGAAACCCTGACTTGAAAACAATAACAAATACCGATGGTGATAATAAAAAAAAAGACCCCAATACTT